TTTTTGTGAACAGACCCTCTGTACATATAGATTAATCTTTGTGTTTCTTGTTTATCTTGTCTTTGGCTGGATATGCAGGCCTTTGATTTTCAGGTACTTTATAATATTGTTTGTTTACTGACTTGCTGCCTCACCAGCTTAAGCATCTCGAAGCATTCATTCATATCATGATCTCTGGCGCGATGAATTCTACAGTACTTCACCTTCTATATTTTAGATGATGGATCCGTTTTGTTTACAATCTGCAAGTGTGCTGTAGACAGCATATGTATTTTAACCTTAGGTTCATCAAAACGAAGGATTGTACTTTTGGTCATCTGGACGTATATACTATGGCTTTTCTTTTTAGTTTTCCCGTGTAGCATTGTTCCATATCTTCCTTGTTCTTGCCTCACACCAACCTTGGGGCTAGTGCGTGCTCGATCCTATTTTTAACGAACGTTCCTATGATTACTGGCTTCTCTGTTGCAAGTTGGTCCTCATATTTCCCATAGAGATGAACGTTATAGGGATTGACCAGGTTTTTCGCTCTCTGATCTTCACGATGATTGTTCTATTCATACTTCCCATTACGAGTGTTCTTCTCATTCGCGAGTCTCTTTAGGACGAGGTTGTTCATCTGCCATTCCTTCTGCTTCCTTCTCGACCATTTCTCCAATCTCTTTTGACTTCATACAATTACTTCATTTTCAGTCCAATTTATATAATTTACCTAAAATAAATCAAATAAAATAAAACTCAATAGAGAACACACTCCCAAACTTAACAATTATGTGAACTCAAGACCCAAAATAAGCGTAAAGCATACACGAATCACAAGGCACACTACACCATGGCACTTTGTTTGGAGTCGAAATTTACTGTCTAACTTTTGCTATCTAATTTGCAATTCACCTAACTAATTATTAATATATCATTTAAATTAATATGTCATTAACTTAAATATCACACTTTAACGACTATTTAACAGTGTCAGATACTTTCTCTCACACACAAAATAATGTATTGAGTAATATTATTCATTCTCAGTGGGGATGAAAACACAGTATAAGTGACATTAAATGTTAAGTTAAATGAAAAGTGAAATTAAATGACTTATTGAATTTCACATATCATTTAATGCTATATTAAAACCACGTAGACTGTATTTTTATCCACAGTGGGGATGAACAGCATTATTCTAATGTATTAATCTCTCCGTCCCAATTATATAAGATTGTTTCATTTTTCACAGGAATTAAGAAAACTTCTTTAATGTTATTAGAAAATTAATTTTTGTCAAGATCTTTCCCAATTTACCCATATTTAATTTTCAAGAGGTAAAACTAAATTATTGTTGAAACTAATAAAGAATTTGAAAAAAAAAAGAAGAAATGAAAGTTGTTTCATGTTTCCAAAAAGTGAGAAGTGTGTATATTTGGATGATTTCAAAAAGTTAGCATAATAAGTGGTGAAAATTTAATAAGAATATATTGCTAAAGGAATAAGGATGGCCATGGTTCGGTTCGGGGTCAGTTCAACCAAAACCATAACCAAACCACCAATTTTTTTGCCATACCATAATCGTACTATAACCACGAAAGTCGGTTCGGTTTGGTTCGGTTTATATCTCGGTTCGGTGAGGTTAGTTTCGGTTAATAACCACGAAAATAAATTATTTTTTATAGGTCCAATCGTCACCTTGAAAAAAAATAATTTACGAAAAAAGTCAATGAACGTTAATAGTACTAGATATAAAATTATATATAGAACCAATTTTTGTTTCTCATTTTCTTTTTCTCATTTTAAG